GATTTCTTTATACACTGAAAATCAATGAACCACATTTTAATATCAATATGAATTTCTTATACCATACCTTGATGTTTTGCATAATTTCAAAGAATTAAATTCTTTTTTTTTTTTTTTTTTTTCCGGTGCCGGGAATCGAAGTCACAACCTTGTGCTTACCAGGCAGGCTCTGTGCCGCTGAGCTAAATCCCCCGCCCCTCAAAGAATTATATTCTGTCATGCATTCTATTAATTACTTCCCTTGCTGTGCAGAATATTTCTAGTTTGATGTAGCTCCACATGTTTATTTTTGGCTTTGTTGTCTGTGCTTTTGTTGTCATAGCCGTGATATCATTGCCAAAACCATCATGAAATTCCTGCCAAAACCCACGTCATGGAATTTTTCTCCTTTGTTTTCTTCTCGGAATTTTACATTTAAGTTTCTAATCTATTTTGAGTTTATTTTTGTGGATGGTGTAAGTAAGGGTCTAATTACATTCTTTACCTGGGCATATCCACTTTTTCCATCACTGTATACTTAAGAGATTATCCTGACTCTCTTTTATATTCTTGGTTGACTACAAAATTAGTTAACTATATATGTGTGGGTTTCTTTCTGGGCCTCATTCTGTTCCACTGCTCTGTATAGCTGTCTTTGTCAGTACCCTGTTATTTTGATTACTTTGTATTTTTTATATATTTTGAAATCTATAAATGCAGTGTCTCCAGGTTTGTTCTACCTTCTCAAGAATGATTTCTTTTTTCATGAAACAATAAACAGAGTGAAAAGGCAATCTATAGAAGAAAATATTTCTAAAACGTGAATACGATGAGATTAACCTCCAAAATCTTTAAAGAACTCATGAACAAAAAATTCAGTAACTTGATTAAAAATGGGCTAAAGATATAAACAAACATTTCTCTGAAGAACACATATTAACAGCCATCACTTACTATTATGGAAATTAAAAGGAAAACCATAATAAGATATGACCTCACACAGTCAAGGTAGGTATTAATAAAAATAAAAGACAAGTTTTGGCAAGGGCAAAAGAAATTAGAATCTGTGGACACTGTTGATGAGATATTAAAATGCGGCACTACTGTGAAAACAACATGGAGGCTTTGCAGAAAATAAAAAGAAATAAAGCATTCATAGTCTTCAATCGGCCAAAATAATTGAAATCAAGATGCCAAAGAGGTACTAGTATACATTTAAGCAATATTCCTGATATCCAATATGAAGATGTAAATGTTCACAGATGGATGAATAAAGAAAACGTGGAGTGTACATATAATAAAATATTGTTGATGTTTAAAAAGAAATTCTGAAATATGGGACAACATGAATGAACTTAGAGAACATTATGGTAAGTGAAATAAGTTAGTCACACAAGGTAAAACACTGACTGCTTCTCCTTATATGATATTTAAAACAGCCAAATTTAAGAGAATGGGGAAAGAAGTTATTAGTTAATGATTTAGTTAATCTAGCTGAGTAAACTTTAGAAATCTACTGTAGAAAATGACATCTCTAATTGATCTATTGTAGATAATTATTACCTATAATTAATCAATTGTAGAAAATTATATCTATACTCATCAAACACTTGAAAAGTTTTCGACAGAGTAGATCTCATGTTCAATGTTTTTACCACAATGAAATAAACTGAAAAAAGAAAAATACAGTATAACATTTCTCTTTTTGAAAAGAAAAAATAATTTTACCAAAAATTGCAAACTTACAGGTCTTTTCAAAGATTTTCTTTTCAATATCCTTTCATTGTTACTAAACATTTATCTAATATGGTAACTATTATTCCAATACATTCTAGTAACATAAAATATGATAATAAAATATAAAGTCTGGAAATTGGAATGTTTTGTGGGGATCATCTACCTTAATTGATTCAATCAACAAATGACAGATATTATTTTTTAAAATGGGCATCGATTGAAAGTCACCAAAATACTGAATCCCTTGTATGTAGATTAATAGCACTGCCACAGCAAAAGTCTAGCTGTTTTTATTTGGTGTTTAATTCATCTCCCTTATAACAATTAGTGCCAACAGAACATCAGGCTACACATTTAATTTAGAAGTAAAGACTCCTAGACCCAGCCAGATGATTTTTCATGAATGAAGGTGAGAGAAGAATTTTAAGGTGCTCAAGGATAAAATGAATAGCTCTATTGAAACAAAACTTGACCTACACAAATAAAAGAAGATATTAGTGTATTGAACAATATATAAATTATTTCATTGCTTTTTAAATTTTATTCATGTGCCAGATATAGTGGCACACACATTCCTGTAATCCCAGCACTCAGAAGGCTGAGGCAGAAGGACTACTGAGAGTTCAAGGCTATATAGCTCACCCTGGGCTACATAGTGGGTTCAAGGCCAGTCTGAACTATTTTTATTTATGTGTTCTTCCCTTATTGGTTAATGTCTTGGTTGTTTTTCTCATTGCTGAGGCAAAATACCCAAAACCAAAAGTGAAAGGAGGAAAGATTTATTTGGTTCTCAGTTTGTAAAGGTTTTAGACCTTAATCATCTGGCTCCAAGGAAGGTTAATATGGCAGAGGGACATCACAGAGGAGGGGAAAAAAAGTAGCTCACAACAGGTAGAAAGCAGCAAAAGCAGCAAACTGCAAGTCACAAGCACCGACCCTTTCTCTGTCCTTTATATCTTATTCAGGTTACCCAAGCTTAGATCGGGTAGCCCTGGAAGGTAGCGTGGGGCCGCCTTAAACCTGGCATCCCACCATGAACGGTCCCAGAATCACAAACTTAATTTCCGCATAACATAGTCTATATCCAGTCATCTCTGAAAAGCCCAACCTATGACCCATGAGGTTTTGTCGGTACAGCTAAATATAGACTATAACAGTCAATTACTCAGTCTTTTAAAAAATATATAAATCGCTCATGCTTCAAATTCCCCAGGGTGAACATCTGTTAAAACACTCTATTCACACACTGTCTGCACATCCGTGACTCACTCTATGGACTATGGTTCTGCATGGAAATCACCTTAAACGTTCACAGAACAGGTTAGCATCTAATTGTTATCATGTGTACTAAAATATAATTACATCATATCCATAAAGAGTGAAGTATCTCTTCTCAGCTAAAGTACATAGGGGATAGAAATAATTTTATGTCAAGTAGGAAAAAAATTCTTTCATAGATACATTGCTGAAATACTAAACTTCTTTTAAAAAAAGAAATTATTTTCTGGGAAAATTTTGTCCATTATTCAAAAGTTATATAAAATTATTGAAAATTAAATATAATCATAACAAGTTATTTTATCATCTATTTTTCCTTTGAGATTTATTTTTTATCTTGGACATCTAAAGACAACATCCACCAAATTAGTAGTAGGTTTTTAAACAAAATTTGTTTCTTTACTTTTAGCATTTTACTTATTACCCATTAAATTCTACTTCTATTACATTTAATACTTACATTTATATGACTATTATGATTAAGTGAGTTTATTTTCTTCATTTCCTTAAAATACAGAGATACTGTATATTTTCCCCTTCTTTAAGAAATGGGAATTAATTAAATCAAACACTAAATGACTTACTGAAAATTCCATGAGCATTACTGTATTAGGAAAGTTCAGATAACACCAAATTTCCTTTTTTCCATATTATTATGGTATCTGTTCATGAAATATTTCCTTTGTTTTTCTTAAATTTCACCCAATTGTTTTTTTGCAGAAAATTTACTTCAGTTAATATGTTTGTTTTATGTTTATCATTGATTTTGATTATTTAGAGGGATATGGAAGCTAAGGTATAAGTTTCAAGTAGGGGAATCCATGTTTCCTATTAATATAAAATGGTCATAAATGAAGGTTTGATTTAACACCTAACTAATAGAAAGCCAGTAAGATACTATGAGTGGTTCAAAGAGCACTTTAAGCTAGAATAATTATGGGATGGTAATAGTCCTTGGCTAGATACAAAAGACAATAAACATTTAGGTAGACCTATTTATTCCATCAGTGAGAAATTATTGTTGCCTTTACTTCACAAAACTGCATAAGTTAACGAACATACATCTATGGTATTGTGTCAAGAGTAAAAGACTAGAATATGATGACTTCAACTCTTTCAGGAAGATACCTAGAAAAGAGTCACCTGGGTTTAATGTAATTTCTTCTTTTAGTTTTTTGAGAAATCTTCATACTGATTTCCATAGTGGTTGTTCTAATAAAAAATGAAAACATTAAAAAGCAAAATAAGTCAGACATACAAGTTGAAATAGTGCGTGCTTTCTTTTATATGAGAAATCTCAGGTGTAAATAAATAAAAGGTAGATAATAAGAAACAAACAAAATAAAAGATAATAAGAAACAAGGAGGTAGATCTTTTGCAGACAGAAAGGAGACCACCTGAATCCTTTGCCTTACGTTCAACTTTCACATAATGTTTCTGCAAGGGAGGAATTCTAAAACTATACAGTGGCCCTCAAAGTTTAGGATCATATTTTTATGTATGGTCAAAAAAATGTGTCTCTTTCTGATTGAATACTTTTTCCAGCTCAAATTTCTCAACTTTCTCAGCAAGTCATCTCCGAATCTATAAAACAGGGTGGGCAAGTGGAATAAAGACAGTGATTAGATTTTATAGAATGTCATTGACATGAACTTTAAAAGACATGTAACTGGTAAATCACACTTTCTCTTTGAGCTTTGAGAAACAAACTACAAAAGAGTGAAAAAGTTTGTGCATGTGAATAAAGAAGAGATTTTTTTTTCCATAGAATGCCCACAAGTGGAAAAGTCACAACTCAATAAGAGTATTTCCATCAGGGCTTACACTTTTTTAAAAGCCATAAGATGAATTAAGACTGTACATAAGCATTTGTATTTCTGTGATGAAACTCAATTCCAAAAATATTTAGAGGCAATTGCTTCCACATTTGAAATTCATATAACAAATTGCTGATTGAAATTCAATGGCTTTCTCACATCTGATTTTCTCTCCCATGTTAGTTTCCTTCAAGATGTATTGGTGTTGAGAAAACAATCCAAGCACTGAATGCAATTGAATATACTGTATGCAATCTGCAGTCCACTGATGCAGAACTTAGCTCTAAACTTCAGACTGGTACTTATATCTATAGGTAAGGGAATGTCTTCTTCATCTTTTAAGTTTTAGTCTACAAAGTAGTTTGACTACTTAGTTATAATCCCTTTAACCAAGTTTGAAGATAAATTAAATCAGAAATATTTGCTACAATTATTGATAACATTTTTTTTTCACTGACTTCTGGTAAAGAACTCAACTCCCTAAAGGGCATCAACATAGTAGTAGGTAATACAGGTATTCCTTGGGGGAAAGTGGAAACTAAATTTGCAAAATAGATCTCTACTAGTATATATATCTATCTGTAAATATATGAGATGTATTTCTAAGAGCAGTCTAGGAAAAACTAAATAATTTTTCAATCATCTGACCAAAAAATAGTGTCTAGTGAGTGGCTTAGCATAGGGAAACATGAAAACCTTGTAGAAAATACAATGAAACCTTATAGAAAATTTCAGCCTGGCCATTGCCTTATGAATGGCTGTTACTTGAATATTTTTTCACTCTCAAATCCCAAACTTCCCAAGCCTCTCATCTACACAGGTTGTTCTCTGCTTTGTTCCTCCTTTAAGCACCTTGGATATTACTTTTACTTTGTAAAGTTCTCAGTGCCATGTTATTCTTCTCTCTATAATGAAGCAAGGATCCAGGAGAAAGGAGGAATTCAAAGTAAGCAATGTCAGTTCATTTCTTAGAGAATGAAGAAGCAGCAAGATTGCTTTTAAACTTAAACTGTGTTATGTTTTGTATTATTGGTTTGTCCCTGTTACCCATAGAACTCTTTCAAGTTCTTTTGCTCAATAGCCATCAAGATAGAAACAACCAAAATGTTGGATTCAGTTCACTCTATGCTTCATGCTTTGGTAATCATGAATTATCTATTTCTGTTATGCTGAACATGGTTTTGTGATCCTTACCTTTACCACACTGTTCTTGCACCTAAGAAATTATTTCCAGTTTTTCTCCACCCAGATTACTCAAAGTCATTTTTCAAGCTTTGACTAAGTCCCTTCCCCCGAGAAGCCTGCTGTAGGAGAGGTCTGTGCCTACGACCCCTTGGATTCTCCAGGAGACACATGTACTCTCATCCTAATATGCACTGAAGTATCTTAGAGCTACCAAGAATGATAGAAATACGCAGTGAATTTTCAATTCAAAATGAGCTTAGAGCAAAAGACATATTGCCATTAATCCTTCTCAGAACGCTTCTCCTCTCTTTGAAGACACTTAACACATCATTACTGCCACTCTTGGTAGCAGTGCTGAAACTCTTCTTTCATGGGTGTTGTGTTTTGTTTTGTTTTTTAATTTTTTTATTTTAAAGATAAAAGAACTGAAACATATTAACAGACACACAGACATAAATAAAACAACATAAAAACAAAAAAAATACAGATTTCAGACAAGGTGATAGGAAATTAACAATGGTTATGTATTACATATTGGTATCTTCAAATTGGTTACTCAGATAAACAAATACAGGCTTGTAAGACTGATCAAACAAACATTAACTGTTCCTTTCAATAACACAATAGAAATCAGTAGTACAATTATCTTAGCTATCTTGTGTATACATATTTATATTTTTCCTTTCTTTCTTTCTTTCCTCTTCTCCATCATCCCGGTTGTTATTTCCTTTTGAGCATTTTCACTCCCTTTCACAATATCTGCTGTACCTTTAGATTTTATTTACTCCTTCAGGTTCTTACACTAGGGAGACAATATGATGTTTACACATGTGTGTCTGATTTATTTCACTTATGAGTATGGTCTCTAGATACATCCATTTACTTATAAAAGACTTGAGTTTATCTTTCTTTATAGCTGAGTAATACTCCATTATATAAATATGCCACATCTTTTTTATCCATTCCTCAGTTGATGAGCATTTAGGCTGTTTCCATAACTTAGCTATTACAAATTGTCCTGCTAGAAACATGAGTGCACATATATTGCTGTGGTATGATGTCTTTAGTTCTTCTGGAAAAATACCCCAAAGAGAAATAGCTGTGTTGAATGTTATCTCTAATTCTAATTTACTGAGGAATCTCCAGACTGATTTCCACAGTAGTTGCACCAGTCTACAGTCCCAGATTCCTAGATATGTATGAATTACCAAGGTTGAGTCAAGAAGATATAAAAATGCTGAACAACAAAATATCAATTAATGAGATTAAAAATGTGATTGAAAACTTACTGACAAAGAAAAGCCCAGGCCCTGATGCATTCACAGCAGAATTCTACAATAAATTCAGAGAAGATTAAATACCAACACTCCTTAAACTCTTCAATGAAATTGAAAAGGAAGCAATTCTCCCTAACTCATTTCTATAGGGAATTATACTGATACCAAAACCAGAGAAAGACCCAACCAAGAAAGAGAACTACAGACCAATCTCCCTAATGAATATAGATGCAAAGATACTCAATAAGATACTAGCAAATAGAATGCAGCAAATCATCAAGAAAATCATACAGCACGACCAAGTCGGATTCATTCCAGGAATGCAGGGATAGTTCAATATTGGCAAATCAATAAATGTTAGACACCATATTAATAGAGCCAAACAAAAAAACCATATGATCATCTCAATAGATGCAGAAAAAGGTTTTGACAAAGTCCAACATGCATTCATGATAAAAACTCTACAGAAAATAGGAATAGATGGTCTTTACCTCAACCTGATCAAAGCCATCTATGACAAACCAACAGCCAACATCATACTAAAAGAACAAAAACTGAAAGCTTTTACTTTAAAATCAGGAACAAGACAAGGATGTCCACTGTCATCACTCCTGTTCAACATAGTTCTAGAACCATTATCCAGAGCAATTAGACAAGAGAGAGAAATAAAAGGAATAAGATAGGAAAGGAAGAAGTTAAACTATCACTATTTGCAGAATTCACGGGTGTTTTTAAGGGGTGTGATAAAAATACAGTGAATGGTGCTGCCAAGTAATGTCCAGAGGAAGGTCATGTTTGTGAACAAAATCAGTGTGTCCTCAAGCACCTGATCCATCAAATCTGGCACTGTGTGACTTCTGGCTCTTCCTCAAAGTCAAAATCACCATGAAACATGAACATTTTGAACCATTCAGAACATCAAATCAGACACGACAACACAACTGAAGACATTCATAAAAGAGGATTTTCAAAACCGCTTCAGAAAGTGGCAAGTGACCAGGTATGGTGGTGCACACCTGCAATCACATGCTCCCAGGAGGCTGAGGCAGGAAGATTGCCATGCATTTGAGGCCAGCCTGGACTACACAGTGAATTCAAGGTCAGCCTGGAATATATACAGCAACACTATGTTTTCAAAAACAATTGGCAAGATCTATGGAATAAGTGTGTTCAAAGTAAAGGGGAGTATTTTGAGGAAGATTAATGGCAATGTGTCTTTTACTACAACAAATTTTTTAAAAATTAAAACTTTCATCATAGTTTTTGATCGTACCTATACACTTCCAAGAAGGTTAATGGAGACCTTCAGGGATTGCTTCCACCCCTACTTCCTGAGCATCCTGCAGAGCCTGATGCACAGCAGTAGCTTAACAAAATCATAGTGAGTAGAAGTGAACTGAACTGAAATTAAACAAAGCAGACTTGAAAAGAGAGGACGCTTGAGCAGCCAGGCCTGAAGCATGAGCCGGAGCAATATCCTTACACAGCACTCCAGGGCAGATCAGATCGACCTGTACAAGGCAAGTCTGAGAAAGAGTGAGAGGAAGAAATCAGTGTAGATAAGAGCCAAGCAGAGGATTAAAAACCATAGTGAAGGAAATTAAGGTAAAGAGTAAAATTAAAGAAATGATAAAGAACATGGCTTAGAAAGTATCAATAATGAAAAAAACAATTTTAAAAGAAAGCATTACAAATGTCTTAGGAAGCACAAAACATATACAATGCCATAAGCTTATTTGATGGGATAAAGTTAAATATAGTAGCTATTTCCCATTCCTATTTTAATAACAGTAAGATGGTCTACATTTATTGAAATCACTTGATGAAGCAGCACTGTCTCGTATACTTCTCACAACAAAGCTGGGGTAAGCTTTGTCACTATCTCTAGTTTGCACACAAGGAAACTGGGACACCAAGAGATTAATCAACCAGTGCAAAGCCAGAACATTATTAAGTGGTTGAATATGGGTTGGAAATAAGATGATCTGGTTGCCAGGCTTCAGATAATCTATTAGCCAATATGTTAATAGCATATATTTTATTACAAGGGAAATAAATATTGTAACATTTAAAAATAAACTCTTGATCAACTGAAATGACTTTAGGTTTGGATAAAATACATTCTAAGTGTTAATTTTGTTTGTAATACAACTAAAATAATCTCACGAAAAAGACACTGCAATTAAAAATATCTCACCTAGAAATGTCCTTTCTATTATGGAAAAGATTTATTGAGGAATTTTGTACTAGTCTTGCCTACTTTACAAAGGGTGAAGTGTGGGAAAAAACTGTGAGACAGAGAAGTGATTATCAGCTCTTTCCTAAAGGCCAAAAGCATGAAGAATATTAGTATATTTACAGTATCATTGTTTTCTTGTTGTTATCATTTTTTTATTTTAAAGATAAAAATAAAAACATATTAAAAAACAAACAGACATGAACAAAACAACAAAAGCAATACAGAATTTCAGACAAGGTGATAAGAAATTAACAATGGTTACTGTATTACACATTGTTATCTTCAGGGTGGTTACTCAGTTAAACAAATATAGTCATGTAAGACTGATCAAACAATTAAACATTAACTGTTCCTTTCCCTAAAGCAACAAAAATTAGTAGTACAGTTATCTTAGCTATCTTGTGTATACATATATACATATTTTCCCCTTCTTTCTTTCTTTTCTCTTTTTTTATTTTGAAAAATATAAGAAGGAAAACATATTAACAGACATCCATTTACAGAACAGCATAAGAACAATACAAACAAAACAGCTACAAACAAATCTTTAAGTCTCTATTTGTTTTCCTGAGAAACCACTTTAAAGATATCAGTAATTAATACAATAACCATGGTTGATTTCCTACAACTTTGTTTGCATAATTGTTTTAATTTTTTCTATGATCTAAAAAGTAGACTCCTAGTGAAGATTAAAAGGTAAAGAATAGGGAAAAATTTACATGCCATATCTGCCGGTTCGCCTGTGAAATATCCAGAAGAATTAACACAAGGAATGCTGTTTACCCACTTTTGTGCCCAATGCATATTAGCTAAGGAATGGAGGGTGCATAAATGTGGCTGAGGTCTGAGTAAGACGTGCTCAGCATGCAGGTGGACAGATTCAGATTGTGCAAAGCTGGTGACATGAATGAACTATTTGGAATCATGAGTCCATTGTTACAGTACACCACCTTCAGGAGCTCCTCCAGAAGAGGAAGGCAAGTGACTAGCGTGTAACTGACTGTACCATCATTTGACCAAAAATTATGGACACAGTTACAGCTTGTATTAAAGGTACCCCAAAGCCTCACGTGTTTGTAGGTGGGGCTTTGCAGAGGTGACTGGATCTAGGATGTGTGAATGCGGCCTGAAGGGGTGTGATTATAGATTAAGGGTGTAATAATTGCGTTGGTCCACTGATTCCTTTGGCATTTGTCTGGGTGTGGGTGAGGAGAAGCTCCAACTTTGGTGTGGATAGCACCAGACGATAGGGTTGTGACCTGGATGTAATATAAGGGCAAATGAAGGATGGAATGCTTGCTGTTTCCTGCTTCCTTCCTGACCCGCCGTTGACTGGGTCTCCTCCGTGATGCCCTCTGCCGTGCTGCCTGCCTTGAAGCCAGCTGACTGCACTGGAACCTCTGCAAATTGTGATCTGAAATAAACCTTTCCTCCTGTAACCTGTGAGTGCCAGGTATTTTATTTCAGCAGTGAGAAAAGTAACTAAGGCAGGTATTTATAACCTGGCCTTCCTACCTATGGCCCGTGTTTCCTGAACTCTTGCAGTCGCAAGTAAAATGTTCTGCTCTTTATTCATGTCCCCTTCCATGTATTAAAAATGAAGTTTCTTATTATTGAATAAAGCTCTATAAAACCTGCTCATTAAAGGCAGAAGACTGTATTGTTTTGGTTTAATTGCTTTATATATTTGAGTTTCTTTTTTTATTTTAAAGATAAAAGAATGAAAACATCCTAACAAACACACATGCATTTAGAAAATAACACAAAACAATACATGCAATACAGAATCTCAGATAAGGTGATAGGAAATTAACAATGGTTGTAGCATTACATACTGATATCTTCAATTTGGATACTCAGATAAACAAATATAGATATATAAGATGGATCATATACTTAAACATTAACTGTTCCTTTCAATAGAGCAATAAAAGTCAGTAGTACAACTGTGTTAACTATTCTGTGTGTACATGTGTATATTTTCCCCTTCTTTCTTTTCTCTTTTCCCTCATCCCAGTTGTTCTTTCCTTTTGAGCAGTTTCCTTCCCTTTCACAATGTCTATTATACCTCCTAGATTTCATTCACTCTTTCAGGTTCTTATACTGGTGAGACAATACGGTAGTTGCAGATGCCAATAACTCTGTTTTTAAAATATATTTGCAGTTTCCAATACAAAAAACAAGTGAAACTTTTTTTTTCTTTATCTCCAAAGGTAAAGTAATAACAAAATAGTTTGAAGAATTCCACTTTGGTTTGAATGTTTTGTAACCGTAAACTCACATGCTGCAATTTAATACCAAGTTCAGTGGTGTTGGACAGTGGAACATCTGAGTGGGGAGTAAGATGTGAGGGTGAAGCTCCATTAATGGGGTTATTGTCTTTATAATAGAGGGCTGAGGAGGTATGCTCATCCTTGCAGCCTTTGAAGACGCAGTAACAAGATGCCAACAATGAAGAAAGCCCTCTTCAGACACAGAATCAGAGATCGCTTTAATCTGAGACTTCCCATTATCCAGGACTGTGCGTAATACATTTCTGTTGGTTATAATTACCCAGCGCAGTGTATTTTATTATAGCAGCTGAGACAGAGTAACACAATTTATTACAGAAAAAGAAGTTTAAAAGTTAATAACTTCTTACAGGGTAAAAAATTCAACAATGTATTATGTATGCATTGAAAAGCTTTATACACTTGGATAAATAAACATAAGATAATAGACTAGATATTATAGTGGATTGCATCAATAGCTCCAATTATTTTTCACAGCTTTCTAAATCAATTATTTTGTCATATTTTTTGGAGTTGATCCCATACAGACAGAGCATAGTGCCTCACCTCTTAATTTGAGTTCAATTATGTGACTTGTTTTTGCCAAGAAAAAGAGGTAGAAATGACAGTGTATTGTGGGGTTAAGGCCCGAGTGTTTGTTTGCTTTTGTCTGTGCTGCTCTTGCTGTTGCATGAAAAGTGGTGTAATAGAGAAAAAACTAACTGTTTTCCACTCTCATATGCTCAACACTTAATACACAACATTTCTGTGACCCCCATGCCAACAAATTCTGTGGCACCAGCTAAGTGTCCTACAACTCGGTTCCATTCTGATGCTAAGCAGAGTTACTGCAGAGTGCTCCCCAGCACAGAGTAAAGCTCAGTTCCCTCTCGCTGTCACCCACACCTCAGCTGCTACTAGCCAGTAGTGGGTTTCCGGCTTATCTACCACTTCTGTCTGAACATCTGCTATAAAGCAAATGTTCCCATGACCTTCTCACATTTGACTGATTTGCTAGAAAAGCTTGCAGCTCAAGGAAACACATTTGCCAGTCTTTTACATCAGAAATAGACATAATAAAGGATACAGATGAAGATCCACGTTTAAAAAATTTGTAGGGTCACTCCGGCAGTGTCTGAGCTCGGGAGATCTGCCACTGTGGAGTTGGGCTGCACCACCTTCTGAATACAAGGAAGTGCCCACCAACTGAGACCCCCCCAAATTCTGTACTTTGGGGACTGTTACAGAAGCTCCATGATTGATTATTAACTTTATTCCCAGCCCCTCTCCAGTCTCAGAAGTCTGGGAGTGGCAAAGGTTCTAAGCCTTCAGTCCTGATCTTATGTGTTACCAGGCCCCATCCAGGAGCCCACTAACAGTTGCCTTATTAGAAGGAAGGATGTTCTTCTTACCCAGTAAACATAAAGGCACTTAGGAATTTTACATCAAGAACTGGAGTCAAAGACTGAGTATAAAAATAATAGATTTTCATAGCTCCTTTGTTGCTCAGAATATTATAAGAGTTCTAAGAGCACTGTTTCTGGAATGGGGAGCAGAGAGTAATAAGCATGCTTCTTATTAAGTCACTTTTGTGCAGTTCCCTGTGCATAGGAGAATTAGACATATGGGAAGAGTCCAATGCCAAGCTGCCCTGCTAGGTCTAGTTAGCCCACAGATTCAGGAGTAGTACTAAACAATTACAGTTTGAAGCTGCTGAGTTTGGGGTCACTTATTACACAGCAGAACAAATGGACAGTTATCAAGATAAATAATCAGCAGATCATTTAAAACATGAAAACATATTCTACTTTGCCAGTACCAAAGCTATGAAAATGGATGCAGCAAAAGTGCTCATGTTTATCTATACATAGTACGTACATTTTCAGACATATGAACTCCAGCTCTGCAGTTGCTAGTTGCAAGCTTTGAAACATGTTACCTAAGCCTCAATTTTATTATCTGTAAAATAAGTCAATATGAACATTTACCTCAAAGGATTATTGTAAAAGTTGCAAGCACTTAGAACAATGGCCATTAAACGATAATCACAAAGTAAATAAGAGTCATTATTTTTAAACCTATAGGATATCAAAGAAAGGTAACACTCACTAATTATAAGTATGGTGAGTGGTCTTCGTAAAAAATAAAGAATAACCTTTTAAAAACAATGACAATGACAGTATCACATGCCTATGATTATGTTATGGCCAAGGGTAGGAAAGCATGCATTCCGAACACTGTACAAAACAAAAACCTTAAAAAATAAGATAGAGAAAATTACAGGGATCATGGGCTTTGGGCTTAATCCTGACTTCCTCTCCACTACACAGCTCCATCTCTTGTGAGCCAGGTGCTGTGAAGCGAAACATTAAACATCACTCCAGCCCTCATCGAGTTTTAAATAGGGAAAACTGTATATCTTATATACTTGCCACAAAGAACAAATGGATGGGTATATAAAGAAACTAAATGGCTCATTCCCTGACACATACTGGGTGTAAAATAAATTATTGGTTCTTCCTTTGATATCCTAAGGTTAGTAGACAATTTTCCTTTTGACTTCTTATTTCTTCAGTGACTTTTTATATATTGTGCTAGATAAATGACTCCATTTAGGCAAATTTTTTTTCTCAATTAATATGAACAAAATTGGATTTGTCTCTTTTAAGAGTAAAAGTTTGCTTGTCGTGCTGTTTTCCTTTCCCAGGCATTTCAGCGTTGCTGTGTGGACACCACTGATATGAATGAAAGTGCTCACTGCTGACCTAGAGTAATAAGTACATATCCCCTATAAAATGTTAAATAATGAGAGTAAAAGTGCTATTTTCTTGTAAGGGATGTATTTTCAATAAAAATGTAGACTGGGTTTTATATCTGCATTCTATCATTTGCAATTGCCTGTATTTCATTAACTGCTGCCAGGAGTGCCCTCAGCAATCCCCGAGGTGCCGTAGCATTTCTCTGCTGGCCCACACCAGGAGCCTTCACTTCTGAATCCATCATCGCGGAGTTAACGAATAAAAACCGATGTGTTCGTGACACTCTGAAGTAAATATTTATTCTCTTTTATGCCAGGTGTCCCAGCAGATATTTCACTCAAATTGATTTCAATGATGATGTTAGGTTTGGATTTGTTATTTTCACTGATATTTACATAGATAATTCAATATTTATTAGAATGAGCATAAGTAGAGTGAACAAACTGCTTATTTTTCTCATAAAAGTCTGTCTCTCCTTCAAAGATTAAAAATGCTCTCATTTACCTCTCTGATAATATTCTAATTTAAATTTTTATTGGCAAGAAAATTTGCTAAGCAATTTTCTTGTTAATCCATTAATGGACATACTTCTGACAGATGGAGCTTATTCTTGTGATTAATGTTACTTTTTTCCTACACAACATTGTCTTAACTATTCTTAAAACAAACTATTCTTGTAGCAAACTCAGGCTAATGAACTCTTGACTTATTTCATGATCAGGTTTCTTAGTAGCGTGGCCTCCAACTCCTCTCCTCCCTTGGATCACTGTTCTTGGGGACCAGAAGTATTTGTAGGATCAGGAAAAAAATTCTCTTTTGCTTTACCTGAAAACAATACTCATAAGTGAAATAAATTAGAACTGCATGTGCAAGCACCGCATTGTTTCACTAGTGTAAAACCTGAAAGAGTTCATTTAAACTTGGAGGTGTGATAGACATTGTGAAATGATAGGAAAACACTCAAGGGTAAAAGGCAACTGGGATGTGGGAAAAGAGAAGGGAAAGAAGGAGAAATTGTGTATGTATGTATATACAGGATAGCTAACATAGTTGAACTACTGTCTTCTAATGCTTTGCTGAAAGAAACTGTCAGTGAGTTCTTGATTGATCAATATTGCCTGTCTCTATCTGTTTTCATGAGTAACCACTTTGAAGATATCAATATGTAAAACAAGAAGCATGGTTTATTTCCTACCACTTTGTTTGTGACTTTGTATTATCTGTACTGTTCTTTTGCTATTTTGCAAAATGTTGTCTGTTGGTTGTTTTCCTCCTTTTATTTTTAAAGTAAAAAAAAACAAATAAACAAAACAATGTATTTCAAGAATGATAGGTGTGTGACTCTACTCCTTAATCATGGAAAGTTTCTGCCCAGAGTTGGGAATTCCTTAAACTAAACTTGGCATAAATTTACACGCAAGAGTCTCTGTAAGGCTTTCACAGCAGCACTGGGCACCAAATAAATTAGAATGAATATATTATTTTCAATCTAATTTTCCTTTCCATTTGAAACATTTCAAGCATATAGGAAACAGACAAATAAGCACCCAAGTACTTATAATTCAGCGATTTTAAATCAACATTTCTCCCAAGTTTTCTTTCTTTTTTTAAAGGGAATAATGCATATCAGATACAGATGAAGATCACCACAAGCTCTCACATTCCCTGTCTTTACCCTTCTGAGGATGATCTGGTTCCTGAATTTGGGGAATATTTTTAACTCCATGTTTTATGTGTATATAAATATAAATGAGCATAATTATTCTGCATGGTTTTTAACTCTACATGAATTATATTATTCTATGTGTATTCTTTTGCAATGTGAGTTGCTTAGCATTCGGTATTTTTAGATTTATCCACAGAGCTCATTTTAAATCTATGGTATTTAAATGCTGTGTAGTATGAATGCACAAATTCAGTTGCTGAGGATTTTAGTAACTTTGGACTTATGTTATACTAATAATGGTTCAGCGATCATTTTTTAGCATGTTTCCACATGTACTGATGAGAATTCCTCTGGATAATATTATGAGAAGAGAAATTGCTACTATACATTATGAAAACTATAGCCACCAAGAACTAGAAAATTCTTTAAAGTGTTATGTAAACCTCTCCTGCCCACAGCAGTTATTGATTTCATGTTCCTCAACTACACTCGTGATTGTCACACTCTCCTTCTTTTATTTTAGTTTTATGGTTATGATCCAGTAACCATGCTTTTGTAATTGTCAGCTCTGCAATGATGATAATGTTTGGTGTCTTTATTATTAACTGATTCAGATTTCCTATATATCCTTACCACATCTTTTATCTATTTTTCTGTAACTTTTTAAAAAATTGATTTCAGGGACTCTTTATATGTTTTGAATACCAATTCTAGTTGGAGGGGCAATTCTTATTTATGTATTTTCTTCTTTTACTCTTGGAAAAACTGCCACTGCTGGGAGTGTCAACAAAGGTACATTCTGTCCTATTTTCTCCGTTCCTCTTCACTGTTTCTGCTATTTCCTTTTTAAAAGAGAAGTGGACAGAGATGGAAAGATGATTAGAATAAAATTATTGAGCAGTATTTGCCATTTTCATCCCCATATTCTTTCTGATTCATGAAAATGAAGAATACCCCCAACAGGGAGTTGTTACAAGGATGTAAAAGCCTTTAGCTGAATGCAGTGAGTTTAAAAGACTGTAAGTTAAGAATTTAGCTTGGCACAAAAGACAAATACCACATGATCTCACTTATATAGATAGTCCTTGTTAACGACCTACCTGTTTAAGGACTGTTCCGACTTCCCTCTCAGGTGTGGTGTTTGGACTGAAGGCCTGCATTCAGATTTAAGATGCAGGGACACAAGCACTAGGGAGGGCTTATGTGACTTCGTCTATAGTATAGCACTATAATTTTTGCAGATTATATTGTGCACTACTACATGTAAGAGTCATGCAAATTAAAATAAAGTCATCAAGTTGGAGCTTCCTTTGACCATTGTTTTGTTCTGAATATTGTACTGTACATACTATATACTGTCTAATTTCTCATTTAGTGACCAATTCATTTAATACCCTAGTGATAGGAACGTGTCTCAGTTATTAACTGAGGAATGTCTGTATGTGGAATCCAAGTCTTTTTAACTTATAAAAGTACCACAGTGGTTTCTCAGAGGCTTGGAGGCTTGAAGTAAGAGAGACAGAGAATAGGGAGATACTAATGAAAGGGTATGAAGTTTTAGCTAGACACAAAGAATATGTTTTTGAGATCTATCACAGGGCATGGTGACCATAGTTAGTAATAATGTACTGCATATTTCAAAATTACAAAGAAACAGGTTTTGAATATTCTCCTAACAAAGGAAATGATAAGTATAACTTGAAGGATCTATTAGTTACCCTGACATAATGATCACTGGATGGAATCCAAAGAAATCCCCTAAAAAGGACAGCGTTATGCCAACTTGCTACCTTCAGGAAATAGGTATTAAGTTCACTGACTCATCACAGAAAAAGAATTTCAGGATGCGCCAGTGTGAGATACCATGCAGATTTATGAGGCAGAGTTACACAGTAAGGGAGAATAGGAAACTATCCCAGCTAAAGTATTTAGCAAGGTCTTACTCTGATACAGCGATTCAGACTGGCCTCTCACAAAATTACGAGGCCAAGCGTTTAAGCATTACCAGAGGTGGGCCAAAGTTCAGTCGTCCCTTATTTCAGTTCTGGTTTGTACAACTCTGGTGGAATCCTTAATGGCTTGAGGAGCAATTTGTCTCCCACGATTGTCCTTGTGTGTGAACAGGTATGTCCCGCTTCCTGTCATCCGGCAATTGCTTTTGCTTGAGGAGAGATGTCTTCATGAGGTGGACTGCAAGGCTGTTTTTCCTAATATCCAAAGTTATGACAGGTCTGAAAGAAATTCCTGCATCACCCTAAGAGGTCTGGAAATGGTCATTGTGAAAACCTGCAATTGAGATTCCTTGAAAATTACTTAACTTTTATCTTGATGTCTGTCCTCAGTCTTGAAGGCGGATGAGATAGAAGAGGTAAATGTATCGCTAATAAAACTGTAACACAGACTTCCTGGGTGATTAGCATGCATAAGTGTAGAGGTGAGCAGGGTCTGTCCCAGAGTTCTAAGGTACAAAGGAAGACAAAACACTGAGTTTCCTTGTCTGCTTTCTGCATACCTTTATTTCTTCTACCTTATCTCATAATCATTCTGCAGTGTATGCATGTATCAGAACATCACACTGTGCCCTATAAATATATATATAGTTATACTTTATCAGTTGAAGTACATTTTAGCTAAAAATAAATCAAGATATTAGCCCACTCTTAAGAAAAAAGACTGAGAAATCTTCCAGAGGCACTAACTCAGTTTCCACCACTATATCATAAAATCCAGAAATGATACAGCAATAATGGATGCTTAAATTCCTGTAGACTAAATATTCCATTTTGTAAGTGAAAAGATCCAGAGGTAAGTTGATTTCAGGAAAAACAAAAGAATTCTGATCTGTCTGTTTCCTTCATTCTCCACCACTTTTCTCTATATTTGTGTAATACTTGTAGCTACAATTATCTAAAATTTGCCACTTACCTTTATATATATTGCCAGACAGGCTATTTTCTGTTTCCCTTGCTATAATATAAGCTTCACAAATAAAAAGATACTGTCATTTTTATGCTTTATTAACTGATAATATTAGACATTCATTACTTTGATTAGTGTTCTGAGTGATTACTGTTCAGACCTACTATGCACCAGCTATTTTATTTGTTAAGGTTTAGATCCAAAATATTCCCCCAGATTCTCATGGGTGGGTCATGGCACATGATACTCATCATTGAATCAGTACATTGATAAATCCCTAGATGAATATGCTGCTAGGAGGAGTTAGGGGAGAGTTAGAAGAGGTGGTTCACTGCGCATGTGGCCTGAAGGGCATGTCTCCCACTCTGGCTCTTCCCTTCACCCTCTGCTTAGCAGCTGTCATGATATGAGCAGTTTTCCTCCAACACAGGCCCTTCCACAATACCATATTGGCTATGGACCCTGCCAACCATGGGGTGAGACTTTGCAAAAAGTGAGATAAAATAAACCTCTGCCCCTTTAAACTGTGGGTATTGTATATTTTGTCAAGAAAGGGACTAAGACATGTTAAAGCATGAGAATGTACAAATAAATAACAAAAATTCCCACACATTGGAACTATTCACTTCTTGTCCACTTTTACACAGTTACCTAATATAGGGATGGAAAATGGATTTCTCTATTTCCAGTCTCAGTAAGTACATCCACGTTTAAAGAGAGGACCCACAATGCAGGAGCACATGCAACAAAATATAAATGGCAGGGTTTGGAGCAGGAGGTGACGTGCTTAATGCTATAAATTTATTCACAAAGTAACAAATCAAATATTTAAGATCAAAGTTAATGACTTGCTTAGTCAGAATAGATGTGGCAACGGATTGATCATGTACTTAAGCTTCTGAGACACTTTCCTGTACATGTTCCTTCCAGATTTCTAGGGTAAATCCAAGTGGTGGGTCTGACTATCATTTGTTTGTGTACCACTAGCCACAGTCACCAGTTTAGGACAGCTCCTCTTCCCACACTGACACTGTCTCTGTCATATACTCTATCACTGGGCAAATTGGTGGTAGCTACTGAAATTTTTGGAATCTACTATGATGAGGTTGTTGAAAAAGTCTTGTTTTAAAGACTGTACAGTTTTACGTGGTTTATTGTCACTTTCACATGTATTCAAATGTTTAGTAGCTTTTCTTGAATACTAGGAAGGAGCTCCTGGAACAAAAGTCCCTGGGTAGACTCTCTTGCAGTCATGACCCGAGCTACAGTACCCACAGCGGAACTCATGATTTACCCCTACAGTTTACACATCCCTGAGTCGCCACATTTTAATGTATGTAAAATTGGTCCCTGTGCAAGAAAAGTTGTTTAGATCTTGCAGATTCTATGTAAGAGAGTTACTGCAGATGTTTCGCTACGTGCAATACTGATCCTTAAAATTTATATGGCCATACCAATGAGAAACTGTGAAGCTTACATAACCTTTCCCAACATACCAGAAGCAAATTTTAAATTAATTATTTCCAAAATTTAATTATCTTCCCATTCAGTTTATAGAAAATACTGAAGTCACAGTTACCTATAAGCATGAAAATGTAATATAAAGGCTGGTTTTGTGTTTTAATGATGTTTTGCGTTCTCAGTTTTGTTCTTGTTTCATTTTGTTTGTGGTGTTGGGGATGGAACTCAGTGCCTTGCACAGGCAAGGGCTCTACCACTAAACTAGCCTCAATAATTCTTTTCCTTTTATAAAATTCAGCATTTGTAATCTTGTGGATTTTTTTCTTGAAGAAGACTTACCAATTCCCTATCTTATTCTCCTGTTCTCCTTGAAGACTAGATGATCATCTACAGGGTCAGAACTTCATCCACCACATCCTGGCTCCAGCCTGATAAGAAGAAAATGAGATACAGCTACTGGTTTAGGGGTCCAGAAGTGGCCTATGTAACTTTCCATCTTATGCATTTTCAGGAACTTCTTTCAGTGGGTTCTGGAAAAATAGTTTTCTTTAGAAAACTATTGTGGCCCTTAATGCTGATATATCAACTTTATTGCACTAAGACACACCTAGCAGATTAGTGAACATGCTTGTAGGTGTATGGGGATGACCCCTGCAGAGGCCTGGCCTTGAGTGCTGGATCTGGTGCCCTGCCCACTCCATTCAGGCTCTGTTCTGCTCTGCTTCCAGCAGCCGTGAATGAAGCAGCTTTGCTTTCCACACCCTTCTGCTTTGGAGGTTACCAAATAGACACTCAATATTTTAAAACTATGTTCTGCATTAAACCTTACTCACTTTAAATTATGTGTCTGATATTGTTGATATTTGAAGAAAAAGTTTACAACAAAAAGGCAAGGAGGAAGGTGAGAGGGAAAAGAAAGGTAAGAACATCTACAATATTATTAACATGTGTCTTGCCTTGCTGACTAATGAATTATGTAAAAGAAGAAACAATATGCATTTACCACCTACCATGTGTCAAAGGCTTTGAGTATTTTGTACCATGTAATCTCTACAAAAAGAAATCTAAACACAAGGATTGCTCCTCCTGAAAGAAATGGGGGATGATTAGGCTCAGAAAATTCAAATAATTTTCCCTAGATCCTAAAGGTAGAAGATAGCAGTGGTATTGCTGTACTACCTCAATTTGGTAATGGAATCAGGGTCAGTTTGAAGTGATAGCAAAGTGTCCTTAAGTGTTCTTTCATGTATTAATCATTAGTTATTTAAAAGTGTGCTAATTTCTATATGTGTGAAATTAGAAAATACTTTGAGGTGATCGAAAACAATAACAGCAAAACAAAACTTAGAGCACAAAGCAAAAGTCATGCTTTAAAGGAAAGCTTATGTCTATGAATGATGAAAATTTAAAACATTTCAGGTTGCTACTCAAATGCTCTACTTTAAGAAATTAGAAAAAAGAAAACTAAACCCAAGGAGAGTGGAGGGAAGTTGGTAATAAACATGAGAATGGAAATTAGTGTAGTAGAGAGTTTTAAAGCAAGAAACAAAAGAAAATTAAGGAATCAAAAGCTAGGTCTTTCAAAAGGATCATCTAAAT